AATAACATCATATTTTTTAACGTTTTAAACATAATATGTAATCGATGTGAAAATATTTGATGATTAAAACTAAAAATATTGTTTAAAAAATTGTAATATTTTTAAAATTAGAAAAAATGAGAATTTTTTCATTAAATTATCAATTCATCTCCGAAGCCTTTTTTATATTTGATAGGCGTTTTCTTTTGTTTTTAATTTTTTAATCATTGTTTTGAAATATTTAACCCTCAAATTAAATTATTAATTTAATAAAAATAAAATATACAAGCAAAAAGTGCAATAAATTAAAACATAACAATTTATTATTTAAAACAAATATTCCTACCGAGTTTTTTTTACAAAATAATTAATTTAAAAGTTATAATTAATTATACTTAACCTCTAGAACACATGATAGTAAAATGTTCCTGGAGGTCTTATTTCTGAAAATTAATTTTGCGCAACTTATATTTTTATCTTTAAACATTTTCTAAACTTATTTATGAAAGAAAAGTAACAAAAAAAGAATAATTTGATTTTTTGGAAATTCAACCAAAAAAGGGTCCCTTTCAGGAAAATCACCCATATAATATGTATATATATATATATATATATATATATATATAAATAATGTTCGATAGATAAAATTGTAAAAGAACAGATAAAAATCACAAAATAATTTAAAATAGTAAAAGGACAAATAAATCACAGAATAAATAGAAATATACAGAACAAACGAATTAAAAGCTGATTTAAATTACGCTTTTTGGCGGCCGTCGAGATCTTTACTCATCATAACCGAGATTATGAAGTTCTCGACATGCCGACAATTTTTTATGATTCACCTGCAAGTGAATCTTGAAACTTTTGCAAGTTTTCTCTTATTTACTTTTTGTTCTTGGGAGTCTTCTTCGCCTCTTCGAGGGTTGTCCTGAAGACTCTGCATCCACCACAACCAGTAATATGGTTAACATTTGCCTTATTCCTATACTTTTCTTTACAGAGAAAGCAGCTTGGGCCTGTTTTACAGTTTGCGAACTTATGATCGACTTCTCCGCACTTGAATCACACAGTCGAACTGTCCGCCGCCTTACATTCATTCCCTATTTGGCCATAATCGAGGCATCTATGACACCTAGTGACCATTACTCTCTTCCTAATTGGGCACGACATAAAGCCAATCTTTATGCGTCCCACTTTTTGCAGCCTTTTCGTTTCCTCTGGGTCAGTGAATACTACCGCGAGCTTCATCCCTTGACGGTTTGGTCCAAGGACCGTCACCTTCCTGCTTCCTGGCTTCTTCAGAACATTTTCCAACACTTGTTGGACTTCTTCTACTTGGGTAAGGCAATACAAGTCGCGAATCTCCAGCGTTACCCTTCGATCCACAGACTGTACCTTATCCATGCCTTCCACCGCTTTGGAAACCTCCGCGGTAAAGGCCTCTTTATTGAAGTCGCCTCTGATTTTAATTAGGAGGTCTCCCCTTTTTGTTGCTTTTGCAACTACGACCTTTGTGTGGCTAACGTCCGGATCAACCTCCTTACGAAGCTTACCAAAACGTCGGCAAACGTCCGATTTTGAGCCGCTCGGATGACCATTGTTGATACCCTTGCTGCTTTTTGCTCTAGTTTTTGACATTCTGACTTCAGTTTATCCTCCGCACTCTTGTCCACCTTCTTTGGAGGTGCTTCCTCCTTTTTCTTTTTCATAGTTGCGGCTTGAGTCCCCTATGGACTGCCGGAACTACGTCTTCTTTTCGGCGCGTCTATGACTGCACGCCTTAACTGACGTGTGTAGTGGCGCTCTCGCCTCTCTTTTCTGTCCTCACGGTTACCTTCTGCCATGCCGATAGTACATCCTAGGTACATATCCGCTTTATCGGCCTCGGCGTGGTTCGCCTTTGCTTCTTCTAGCAGGACTTGAAGGACTTTAAGTCCATCCTTAACGGCCTTATTTACATTTTTCTTGATGTCACAAGAGTTACTCATCCTTGCGACTTCTATTAGTATCTTTTCAAGACACAATGCTTTTTCCTTCCTCAATCTAAGGCTGTCCTCGCGATTCTCTCTGATCGCCTCGTCATCCACTTCCGAGTGTACGGGGCTGAATGCGGACCTCCCGCTGCTGCCACTCAACACACCCCGTAGACTATTTCCACTTCCTCTTCTTGTTCTGTCCACGATGATTTGTGGATCCAACCTTTCCACGATGATCTGTGGAACCTTCAGTGCGGCGTTGCTCTCCTGCATCCACAAGCTACCGGCCATTGACCCTACGCTAGGCGTTTGACAATCGGAACCGGTGAGGGATTTAACCGAAGTATTACCCTGCAGGTATTCTTGTTTTTGACGGTCTCTCATCAGTTCATTTTTTTCTGTTTGTTTGTCCTTTAGTGAAAAGCCCCGCCACCACGGCAAGTCTACCAAATATATCCATGATGTCAATCATGTCTGGCAGTGGATAAGTATCCACTAATCCCAGCATATCGAAGACATCGACGATGTTCGGCAGTGGACAGCCATTGGCGGGGATCCCAACCTAGCTTGTCAGTTAGGACATGAGAGAAATAAAATTAATACTTTAGGCGGTGACAGTACCCATTCAAAACCTTACATAAATATTAGAATAGAAAATTCAGAAATTAAAGCACTAGTTGATACGGGTTCAGCTAGAACTTATTTAGGTTCGGTAGGAGAATCTATAGTTCATTCGAATAATTATAAAATAAATAATGACAAACAAAGTAGCGTTCTATTCGCGAACAGTACTATAGAGCCTATTATTGGTAAAAGTTTATTGCCAATAAATTTCGCGGGAATAACTAATTAAATATACGTCCGAATAGTTCCAAAATTAACCGAAAATTGTATATTAGGTATGAATTTTTTGCGAACATTTAGAATAATAATTGACATTAATGATCAGAAATTGTGGGCATTAGATAAGCCAGTTGTTAGGGTAGAATTTGGTAAAGGCGAGCCGAATAGTGATAATTCGTGTGCAGGATCAGTCGAATTAACTAACAAAGAGAGAAAGCATCTTGACGTACTTTTAAAAAGAATAATTTCTCCGGTCCCAGACAAACTGACCCAGCTAAATTGGTATAACCTGTAATAAATACAGGTGATAATGCCCTAATTCGTCAGAAAAATTATCGCATGTCGCCTAAAGTATGCGAGGATTTCATTAAATTAGTTAAAGAACTTATTAAAATAGGAATATTAGAAACATCAAATAGTGATTCGTGTAATGCGGTTGTCATGGCTCGTAAGGCGGATGGTACCTACCGTCTCTGCATTGATTTTAGAAAAGTTAATAATGTAACAGTTAAAGATTCACATGCTTTACCGTTCATGGCAGAAATTTTGGATAAACTTAGCTCTGATAAGTATATTTCCAAATTAGATTTAAAATTAGGATATCAACAAATACCGCTTTGCGAAGAAAGTAAGGCAAAAACTGCTTTTTTTGTGCCAGAATTGAGGCTGATGCAATACAAAAGAATGCCTTTTGGTCTTTGTGGAAAACCAGCTACATTCCAAAGGCTTATCGATAAAATAATAACTCCTGATATGAAACCCTTTGTATTCGTATATTTAGATGACCTGATAATCGCGACAGAAACGTATGAGGAGCATTTATGGTATGGTTAGAACGATTTATTTATAAATTGACAAAATCTGATGTAACGCTTAATCCAGATAAATGTAACTTCTGTGTACCTGAGACAAAATACTTAGGCTTTGTAGTAAGTCATAAAGGTTTATCAGTCGATGATGATAAAGTTCGCCCTATATTAAGTTTTCCTCAACCGAGAACGTTGCGTCAACTTCGCTGGTTCATTGGAATCACTTCTTGGTATAGGAGGCTCTGTAGGAGGTTTATTAAAAATTACGCTCGAATATGTAAGCCACTAACTCGTTTAACTAAAAAGAAACAACCTTTCAAATGGACCGACGAACAAAATAATGCGTTCAATGAATTGAAAAAGATATTAGCTTCTCCCCCAATAACAACGGCACACAAAAAAAATTTGGATTGCCAGGACTGCCATGTGGTAGGTTTTCTTCCTTAAGGTGTATCTAAAGAGAGAAACATTGACCGACCTAAAAGTTAGTTCGTATTCTCTTTTTACAGGCTTGGTGGGGGAGTGATGTTTGAGAAACTGATTTTTATTGAAATTTACTTAATTTCTATAAATAAAGCTGAATTTTTGCTTTTTCTGAATGTTTTTTTTGGATTCATTGACTTTAATAACATAAGAATTGAATATATAGAAAAAAATAAAATTGTCGGATTCAAAATGGCGGATCTAAAATGGTGGATTTAAAAAAAATTGTTCAGATTTCCTTGAAACTTGTTACTCGGGCGGACAAAATATATTTAAATGAATGAAATCGATTGAAACTTGCTACTTCGTGGGGATTTTCGAGGTCGCCGAATACAAATCTGATGTTGGATTTTAAAAATTCAAAATGGTGTATCCAATACGACTTACGATGAAATTGTTCTCAGATTTTCTTGGTTCTTGGTACTTAAGGTCCGGAAACCCGTTAAGTGCACATTAACTATCTAATCTGCGGATTACCTGTGTAAAGTTAATGTACAAAATAAAACTTTTTTTACATTACCTAGTTAATCTGCAGATTACTGATGTGATAATCGTTAAAGTGACAAAAACAGATATAACTAAAATGAAACAATTCTAATTAGATAAAGAAATAATTTGTTATTAGGTATTGAGTTAGATAGATCTCTAGAAGAATGAATCACATTTTTCTTTTAATAATAGGGCACTATTTTCTTTTAAAAGCGCATTCCTAGTCTCATATTAAATTTATCTTTCATACTTATCTGCAACACAATCAGATCTGAACACAATATTAATGAAACAATAAATTTATAAAATTTAAAATAGTTAATTTTAATATAAATATAATATTATATAATATATAATATTCGACATAAGAAAAAATAATAATAATTTTCATTTTATAATTATAACTAGCTGTCTGCTATTATTACAGCTTTTTTAACAACCATTAGCTGTCAATAGTTGTTTTTGACGTCAGATTCGTGTTCAGGATACTAAATATCATAAAAAGCAGTAGTCGCAGGTCAAATTTTTATGAAATAGAAAAGTTATAATACAGTTTGTAGAAGTGCACCTAACCCATGTTAAATCCCATTTAAACTTTAACCTTTAGCCGGCACGGGTAAAGATTTATTAAATGGACTGTTTTTGTGCGTAGATCTCTTTTTTCACATTTTAATTCAAATTCCAGCCAGCGACCTAAGAAATTTAAACTTTTCTAAAATAAGAACCACATTACATATGAGGCATTTAAGTGCCAAGATAAAATTTCAACTTCTTGAAAAAATTGAAACTCGGGGAATTTATTGTTCTATCAAGTAGAAACGTGACAGAAAATACATTTTTGCCTTTTTCGTAAATTTGGAGGGATCAATTTTACCAATTTTGCTAAACACCATCTACTTTTTCAATTTTTTCTGTACATACATGTAATCAGAAAAATTCTGTCGAATATGTTTCTAGAAGGATTTTTCATGCTCTTTTCAATGGTTAATTTTATTTATAATATTTTTAAAAATTTTCCTAATTTTTAATAATTAATATTTAATTTTTTTCAAGAAGGTAAAATTTTTATTTAGAACATTTCACGTAAAATGCCTCATTTACACACATACAAAAACACATAATTATTCATTTAATTGCTTTAATTATTTCAATTTTTTATTTATTTAGCTTTATATCTATTAATACTTACATTGCCAATTTTGAGACGTTTATTATGTAAAAAGTTATCTCTTGTGGAATGTGACATTCTCCAATACAGATCATTTTATATAATTTTTTATGTTAGTCAAAGAGAAAAGAAAGTTAATAATTATAGAAGTCTATTGAAGGGCAAGTTTACATCCTAACAGGAGAACTCTTCTACTTCCTTTTGGACAAACCTTAGCAGGCGCATTTATAATGCCCTTAAATACAAGGCCTGGCAACACGAAAACACATTTCAACTCACGCATTTTTCCTACGGCACTTAATTTATCGAACCTATCAGGACATGCTGGGCCATATTCATTGATTTCATAACAGCCATTGTTAAATGGTACAAGACCATCTAATTTACAAGGATTTGATTTACATTGCGGATAACTCCCTTCTAAAGGAAATATTAAGTAACTACCTTGCTGACAAGGACCTTGTCTATAAGCTGCATAACAAGTACGATTTACAAATAAAAATTTCTCTTCACACTCGCAAAGATAATTCGACGGATAATGTCTTGAAAACAAATACGAATTTTCTGGACAGGTTTTTGATGAATTCTGAAACATTAAATTAATTTCATGAAAATACGAATGCCACCTACAGAAATCAACCAAAACATTCTTTTTTATCAAAACTAATTTAAATTAATTTAATTCGGTTTTATAAAAGTTACCTCACTATTAATTGTTCCTAAGTACTTTGAGTCGTCACATGTTACTTGAAAATTATCGTCAATTCCTAAATAAGTATTATTATCCTTGCAGGGGTATCCATATTTCCAAAGATGGTGACATTGTTCTTTATAAGGAACAAGACCATCAATAAGGCAGGGATTTTTCACACATTTTGCTACTATTTCTCCAGGCGGAAGCATAAAATAATATCCATCGGAACAAGGACCTGTTCTATAAGCATCGTAACATTGTTCATCTTCAGGATTATATAATAAATAATCTTCACAATCACAATATTCTTCAAAACCATATTTATTGGCATTATCGATTGGTTTCATATTATCAGGACAATTGTTGTCGAAATTCTGTAAAGAAACATATACAAACCTTTATTTTGATTATATATAATTTTATTCTTTTTAGTGACAGTCGTGTGGAAGGATGTCTTTCATCAGAGAATGTACTATAAAACTTGTCTTGCCCCCTTTCAATCCAGTACAAAAATTTTCCTATTTGTCTTAGTCTCTATGCGCCCATTGCTAGATTTCAACTAGATCATTTAGTCACGGTAAGATAGGAAATTCCGACTAAAAAATTTTTTTTTGGTTATGTTTGTCTTCTGACCCGCGACCTAATGCCTGTTTTTGGCGAGTGCCGAAAATAGCCAATATAAGCCACCTATAAGAGGCTGGCCATAACCTTTTAATATATATTTTTTTCTTTTTGCTTAGAGACTTTTGGGAAATCTGCCTACAGATACCTTGGATTCCGCACTCCAAGGTTATGTGGGGTTGGTACAATAAGAAAAAAAGAAAGAAATATAAAATAATGATAGATAAATATTATAATAATTTTAATAAACTGGCGACCTACTACCAGCCCGACCCACTAAAACCCGTAACCCTTCTTTTGGAGCCCTTTACCCTCCCTCGGAACTGTCGTAAGACTTTAGCCTTCGAGGGCGGCGCTCCAACTCTGTCGCTAATGCGACTTTCTGCTTTTCTCTGCGGTTATCTTGCGTTAATAGTAAAAAATTTAAAACTATTTCAATGTAAAAACGGAATTAACAGCACAACAATAATAAAAAAAACAAATGTGTAATTAAGTGTAAAAAGTGAAAAGATAAAATTGTTAACGGATATATAAAAAAAATAACCGCGTACATAATATTAAAAACATAAAACTGTATAAAGACAAGTACAAACATAAAACAAATTAAAAAAAAGTATAAGGACAGATAAAACACAAAATAAATTAATAAGAAACAAACAAACAAATTAAAAGCTGTTTAAATTACGCTTTTTGGCGGCCGTCGATATCTTTCCTCGACATAACCGAGATTATGAAGTTCTCGACTTGCCGCCAATTCTCTTCTGACTGGGTCATCACCGATACCATGTTCTCCGGTTCAACTTGACTGTTTACACCTTCGCACATGGCCCGCCTCTCCAAGTCCCATTTGTTGCATGAGAAGAGGGTGTGCTCCGCGTTGTCCTCAGGGAACTGTCAATATGCACACACCTTGTCCTCGCGTAATTTAAAACGACACAGGTACGAGTTAAAACACCCGTGACCTGTGAGCGCCTGAGTCAAATAATAGGAATCCTGACCGTGTTTCCTATTTATCCAGGTGGCGATGCCGGGAAAAGGCGATAAGTCCATCGACCTTTTTTCTCACCATCCCATCTTTCTTGCCATCTTTCTATGAGCCTGTGCCTCGCTTCTTTGCGTATCAGGCCCTTGCTTGGTCTTAATTCCTCATCCGAGGAACTGCTTTCTTTAGAAAAGAGAAACATTTCTTCCCCTTCCCTCGCCAAAAGATCTGCTGGTGGGACACTTGCAAGGACCTGCACAGCACTCGTAGATACCGTCTTATATGCAGAGATGATACGCGTTGTTATCGATCTCTGCGCCGACAGTATCTTTTCACAGATGGTCACACATCTTTTACTCCTCAGGGATGGGGTCCACGCTGGTGCTGCATAGAGCATTTTAGCGTGGGCGACACTCGCCACCAGTCTTCTATTTTGTTTACGGGGTCCGCCTACACTTGACATTAACCGTGAAAGATTAGCCGCACACTCAATCGCCTTATTTGACGCCGTAGCCATGTGGTGGTGGAAGTTTAACCTTCCATCCAACTCCACACCAAGATATTTAATTTGCTTACTCCACTTGACCTCGAATCCGTCTATCACGATTCGTGGGAGCTCATAACCACGTCTGTCTGTGACCAGCAGTGCCTCGGTCTTTTCCAGGGCCATTTCAAGACCTCTGGTATCCAGCCAGCTTTTTGCTGGTCTATTGGGTCATATATTATAAGTCAGAGAGCGAGAAAACCTCAAAATTAGTTCAAACGACATAGGTCAAAGGCCAACTTCAGAGGACAAAGGGGTAACATAATCTCGAAAAATATGGTCTCGAAGACTTCAAACCGAACAGATTGATTCTGATTTAAAATCAATTAACGATTTGTGCGCTGATACCTTAGATAGAATGAGGAAAATAATAAACACTCCTGTCTCACAGGCGATTTATATACCGTTTACGACGACAGTATATTGCACACAAAATTCGATTACCCAAACTATCACCACCTGTAGTACCAGTCATTTGTATGTAACGGTCGGAACTACAGTTGCAAATTCAGCATCACACACTATGACAGGTTATCAAAATCAGTGAAATGATTATTTGTGTAGAATTACCCCCTCCTGCAAAAAATTCGTAATACATAAACCAGGTAAATTGACAGCGGTCATTCAAAAGTCAAAAATTGATTTTTCATTGCCCCCTTATTATGAAAATTTAGTGATTAAAGTAGCTGAGCCCCTAATAAGTTTTGAGAAAAAAAATTTCGGTTAGAATTTTCGACAATTGGAGTCAGCAGAAACAAACGAGTGTCTGTTAACACCAAGACATCTGAATGTTAATAAACCAGTAGATAGGGACAAAAACGATATAAAATCACCTTTTAAACCAATAAATGAGACAGAAGAAGTCCTTGAGGCTAATTACAAGTCAGCACTGGCTGAATATGGCCGAGTAATGGCAAGGCTACTCATCGAACTTTAATTCATCCAAAGGTAGGCGCAGCCCCGGCTGAAGATTGGCACAAGCCTAGGCCAGTAATTGATCCACCTTTCGTGGAAAATAATCGTTATATTAAACCCATTCAAACTAGGGTAGCTTATTTTAAACCTCAATCAGGAAGAATTCCTAACGATTATTTAAATAATAGGTCTTTAATGAATACTCCATTGATTAATAATTGGAAACCTCTCGATTCCATAGTTAGAAAATGGGGAATAACATTCTCAGGCTATTGTAAGACGAGCGTATAGCGCTACAATGGTACCGCCTAAATAAATCTCGTTGGAATTCGTAGGATGAATTTAGAAATGCGTGATGGTTATGATTCGGTAATATTAATTATTAGTGGCGTCTTGAAGAAAAAGTCGCGCTGTATTAAATTCAGATATGTTAGATCGGGTTTATATTAACATGTGACCCTAATTCAAAATAAGTATTAAACGCTGAAAATTTAGGGACTTAGACGAATTAGCAATAGTGGCATCTGATGTTGAGAAAATGTTAGATTCTCTTAAAACTGAAAGAAGACTACAGAAGCCAAAAAATTTTTTCATTCCCGAGTTCGCATTCTTTGGTAAAGCAACAAAAAAATCTATTCGGGAAGACAACGAGAAAGAGTTCGACAAAGAAACAATTTCGTGAGGCTAAATCTCAACATCCTTGCTTTAATTGTGGTAAGGTTGACGATGTGTGGAAGAAATGTCCACTTCAATGGATCAATGGAATGAATTCTGCCACATATGCGGAGAAACGGACGTCACGAAATACACTTGCGAATCGTCTTACTGTAAGGAATACTAAAAATGGGGATCAACCTTAGGGTCGCTGATCCTCCTAATTTATTTTCACAGACCCTTAATAATAAAGTAAAAAATAAATCGAATAAAAATAGTTTAACCTCGAATAATAAGGCTCGTAAAGATAAAAGAGTAAAGTCTTTTTTGAATATTGAAACTTTAGTTGTTAACAACTGTGATAATAAATTGTTAAACCCGACTAGTAAAACAAATAGTATAAACAATAAATTAAAAAAAGTCTCTGATTAACCTATTAATTGTAAACTCGAATCAGTTGATACTGAATCGCATAAAATAAATAATCCCCACTAAGATTTTTTTTCTTATGGAATTTTGGGAAATCTGCCTACAGCTACCTTGGATTCCGCACTCCAAGGATATGTGGGGTTGGTATAAAAAATAAATAAAATGATAATTGTTTAACAAGGTGGCGACCTACTGCCAGTTTCGACCAACTAAAACCCGTAACCCTTCTTTTAAAGCCCTTTACTTACCCTCGGAACTGTCGTAAGACTTTAGCCTTCGAGGGCGGCGCTCCAACTTTGTCGCTATTGCGACTTTGTTATTTTTTAGCGGTTCTTCTGCGTCAATAATTAGAAAGTTAAAACTATTTCAATGGCAAAGCGAAATTTACAGCACAACAATGAAGAAACAAATGTTAAAATGTGTAAAAAGTCAAATGATAAAAATGTAAACGGATGTAAAAAGCAGAAACAAATAATCAGTACAATTATATATATATATAATGTTCGATAGATAAAATTGTAAAAGAACAGATAAAAATCACAAAATAATTTAAAATAGTAAAAGGACAAATAAATCACAGAATAAATAGAAATAAACGAATTAAAAGCTAATTTAAATTACGCTTTTTGGCGGCCGTCGAGATCTTTTGTTATCATAACCGAGATTATGAAGTTCTCGACATGTCGACAATTATCTTATGACTCACCTGCCTTTTGTAAGTTTTCTCCTACTTACTATTTGTTCTTGAGAGTCTTCCTGGCCTCTTCGAGGGCTGTCCTGATAACTGCGCATCGACCACAACCAGCAATATGGTTAACATCTGCCTTATCGACATACTTTTCTTTACAGAGAAAGCAGCTTGGGCCTCTTTTTCAGTTTGCGAACTTATGATCGACTTCTCCACACTTGAAGAACACAGTCGAACTGTCCGCCGCCTTACATTCATTCCCTATTTGGCCATAATCGAGGTATCTATGACACCTAGTGACCATTACTCTCTTTCTAATTGGGAACGACATAAAGCCAATCTTTAGGCGTCCAACTTCTTGCAGCCTTTTCGCTTCCTCTGGGTCGGTGACTACTGCCGCGAGCTTAATCCTTCGTCGGTTTGGTCCGAGGACCGTCACCTTCCTGCTTCCTGGCTTCTGCAGGACATTTTCCAACACTTGTTGGACTTCTTCAACTTGGGTAAGGCAATCCAAGTCGCAAATCTCCAGCGTTACTTTTCG